ACTGCGCTGAGTGTTATAACCCGGTAATCTCGTGCGCGACCGTCCCGCGGGGTGACAGACAATGGCGGGGCGATGTAGCGCGTCATTCTAGCACACGGCTACACACGATTCCCTTCCCCGCTACACCACCCGCTACCCGCTGACATCTTGAGTACCTCGTCCCCGCCACCGTCTGTCACCCCGCAGGACGGTCGCGCACGACGTTGACGGACTATAGTTTTGTGTTCGTTTTGGTCCACAAATGGTTGTTCTGAGTCTGGGTGTACTTGGTGCTTTCGATGGATGTTTGTCAAGTCCCCCGCGACACAGGCTAATTATATTCATAGTGCTGGAGTTGTCGTTTAAAAGAAAAAAGTGACAGCAAAAAAGCCTCCTGGCTTTTATGAGGTCAAACGAAGAGATGACTTATCGGATGGTAACTGATTATTTGCCATGGATACCTGCAAGTCAGGAGTCACAGGTACCTTGTCTTTAGACTTTAAGTGTCCTCGTCGGGATTTTAGGGTTGTGGTGGGATAAACATGGATTAGCCTAACGTGATAGAGGTTGCGCTCGCCGCATAATTATGACGTATGAGTGACGACAAATAGAGTGAAACAACAAAATACTCCAGTGTCATCTAACGAAGACACAAAGAACTACGGAATAACTGTCCTGTATCGCGATATGAAAAGTTCTCACGCCGATTAGCATATAATTATACAAGTTCCCAACAGCCAGCGTTGAGACGCAGCGCGCTAGGCACGATCACCTCGCCTGCTCGGAGGATTCTCCTTTCGTGTGGACGTGATACCCGTTCCTCCACAGTTTTTATTCACCCGCAACTACAATACACTTTTTGATATGGTGGCAAAGGGTTTATGTTAGAGTAGTACTAAGTGAATTGTCTGACGGATCCCAAAAGTTGAATTTGTTCCCACGTATTTCATTTGGTTTTCCCTAGATGGCGTTAAACTATGTTTTTCCTGTAGGTACGTGAATGTCGCCATAATGGTAATGAATTAGTTTGTATTCACAGAAAAATAATGTCTTAAGTACCTAAATATTACAATGCCCGCTATTAATATAAAAAAGGTACAAAAAATTAGATTTAAAGATGGTGATCAAACAATTTAGTGCAGCGATGATGTCGTGACTGACGTGATTTTATCACCTTTTCAAACATAATTGGTAGTGTTTTCTTTCGTGATTGATGTTATTATGAGCGCAAACCGTGTTTCTTTTTGTATTACAGAATGAAGTTTAGTATCATTGAATATTTTGAACCGAACTACTATTAATCATTTTCAGCTCTTAAATGACAGGAAAATGGAATTTATAACCTCAGAAGTAAAACGAACGAAAGCTTTTTTTTAACCACCACACCTGCAACCTCTAAAAACAGAAGTATGTTGCCGCTTATTTATTTAAACATCTTTATTGTACACCGCTACAGTATATATTGTACAGACGTGGATAGACATCTTCATTTTGGTATTACAATATGTGGTCTAATCGCTCACGGCGATCTTTTACAGACTGACGGATATTGTTTAATGTGATTTAGGGTAGTATATGGTGTACTTTATAATACTTTAGATAACTAATTCATATATATATATATAAACAAAACATACTAAATAAGCTTGCAATTTACATACTACTAACACACTAAGGTGGGCACTGAATATCAGTACTGAGGTGGCATCTATCCACCACAGTGTACACTGAGGGTCCACCTATTTTCTGAAGCAAGGCGTACAATCCTCAGCAACATTAAAGGTTTTTTATGGTACACAGGTTGATAAGTATTAGTTGATAAATACTAACATAGTTATTATAAGTAAAATTTTATAGACGCGTGGTTGGATACGTGGCACATTGACGTGTCATGTCAGTTCTGTCAGATATGAAAGATTGACATATGGAAAAATGTTGCCTTTATCAAACCTTACTTGATTGTTCGAAACTAACAATCAAGTAAGGTTTGATAAAGGCAACATTTTGTATGTTGTTATTTGACTTTGTTTTATTTTTGTATGCTGTGCTTTATGAAATAAATATTATTCTATTCTATTGTTTTCTATATAAATCCATATAAATAATAAATACATACAAAGGTTATAAAGGTTAATACACAAATCGTTTCTAACCTATAAAATACTAAGTATTAATAACGATCAAGATCCCTTCAACAGCACTTACAATGTCAAGTAGTAATTTATGACTTGTTTTTTGAATAATTTCAATGATTTTTGAAGAATTAAAAATAAACAGATGTGTCCATTATCATCGTCTTTAATAGTCATATCATTCTTTAATAGGTCATAGGTCTCTCCTTAGAAAGGAGGTTTTGGCCTACTATACCGCGCTGGCCAGACGGGTTCGTATAGGGTTTGTTTCAAGTTTACCTTCTCTTTGCAGTGCTGTTGTCCTGCATAGTTTGCTCCTTTAGTCGGCTCTTACGACACCCACCGGATGAATAGGGTGACAATCTGAATTCTTAATCCGTCACCACACGGACCGGTCACAGATGTGTCCGGTTGACGGCAATCGACGCAAAACACTATTAAGCTAGTGGAACTGACAATAAAATAATAGTCCGCAAACTGTGGTCGTTTAATACGCGTTTACCTCTCGTCTAACCCTTTAGGGATAAAGAGGTAACTGTGTGTAATGTTTGCTTTAATTTTCACTTCATTTTATCTTCGTTATGTGAAATTATATCAAATCCGTGCCTTCAAGAGCCGTGTCACTTGACCTCGTCGGGCGACAGGGTTAACCAGAGGCGTATTAAAATTCGCACTTACGCAGTAAGAGAGTCGTGGCTAAGTGGTAAACACATTGCAGAGTCAAGCAACCCTACCCAGGTCAGGAAATGGATGGGTGACCATTCCTAACTCATTGGGAGTGCCTCGGAGAGCATGTTAAGCCGTAGGTCCCGGTTACCAAACGAACATATGTAGCAATCGTTGGAGCCCTAATAGACCATAGTCTTTCTACAGAACTTCGATATCGCCTAGTACGAGGGGTGATCAATAAGTAATGATAATCGAATATTTCTAGAACGCACAAAAACCCAAATTATTTTTTTTCTGCTTGCTTATATATCCACTACTTCAGCTTCAAAAAAATGTATAAATAGGACACCATTACCGGGAGATACATTCATTTGAATACGAACTGTCGAAGAGAAAACATCAAAATGGAGAAAAATGAAATAAGAGCTGTCATCAAGTACCTCTGCCTGAAAAAAATGTCTACCAAAGACATACACAGCGACTTAGAGGAAACATTGGGGGAGTCTGCTCCTCCATATTCCGTAGTCGCACGCTGGGCAAAGGAATTTAAGCTAGGCAGAACCTCCACTGAAGATGAACATCGCGAGGGACGCACATCCACGTCCCTTACTGGAGAAAACGTCAAAAAAGTGGAAGATATCGTGTTGGCCGATCGAAGGGTGACCGTAAGGCATGTAGCTGAGGTCACAGGGATCTCCTATGGCAGCGTTCAAAAAATCATTGTCAACAAAATGCATATGAAAAAGGTCTCTGCGCGTTGGGTACCGAGAATGTTAACCGACGAGCAAAAAAAGAAACGAGTCGACATTTCGAGGGTGAATCTTCAAAAGTTCCAGGCCGATAAAGATTTTTTTGTCGCGTTTTGTGACCATGGACGAGACCTGGATCCACCACTTTGATCCCGAAACCAAACAACAATCAATGACTTGGAAACGAGCTTCCTCACCAACGCCGAAGAAATTCAAAGTGTCAAGTTCAGCGGGAAAGGTTATGGCGTCTGTTTTCTGGGGTGCAGAAGGAATTATTATGGTGGAATATTTGGAAAAGGGGGCCACTATAACAGGCTCTTACTACGCAGGACTACTACTTAACTGGGCGCTGGAGTGCTGTTTCACCAAGACAACGCCCCGGTTCACAAAGCCGCAGTTGCGATGTCTGCCATTGAAGAAACGGGGTTCGAACTGCTCGAACACCCTCCCTATTCGCCAGATCTAGCTCCCAGTGACTTCTACCTCTTTCCTCGGCTCAAAGAACACCTCCGGGGCAACAAATTTGAGGACAATAGTGAAGTGATGGCCGCAGTAGAGGCATTTTGGGAGGGTCAAGACAAAGAATTTTTTTCTAAGGGAATCATGGGCTTAGAAAAAAGATACACTAAATGTATTAACTTGCAAGGAGACTATGTTGAAAAATAAAATACTTTTTTTAATCTAATAGTTCTGTTTCATATTGATTATCACTACTTATTGATCACCCCTCGTATTTGGGTTGTGGAGGTCTGATGGCGCTCGAAAAATCGAAGTTTATCCGTGACGTAGTAAACTTAAAGCCTAGTTTGGGAAATGATTCATCATCATCATCATCATCAGCAGCCTATCGCAGTCTACTGCTGGACATAGGCCTCTCCTATTGAAATGATTCGCAGGTTTTTAATTATATCAAATGAATAATATTACTTACTACGTAAAAACTATTCGTCTATCTATTACGGTACGTGAGCTACAACAATTACTAAGGTCGAACAAAAAAACAAATATTACATTAATTGTAGTTTTTACTTTTAATTCAATTTTATTCTTTGTTGTTATAGCGGTAATAAAACTACACAGTTTGTGGAACTTGAAATTGTCTATCTATCTTTAAGTTAAGTTTTTATATCCTTTACATACATACATAGATACACTCACGCTTTTATCAGAAGGAGCAGACAGAACTGTATATTCTCACTTACGAAACAGACAGGCAACATTATATTTCTTAAGAAACATTCTTATATACCTATTTCCAAATACATACATATTGTAAATACAATAATGGGCGTTAAGTTTTCTAAAGATGAAATAAAAAGTTTACAACGCCACCCACTGGCTCAATTGGACCCAAAGATATCTGAACCGTCTAACGACCTATCTCAATACACACAAAATCAACCCAAAGCTTATGTGAATTTTAGGATAAACACACGTACAGAAGAATTATAAATATAAAAATTTCACTCACCTTTCTTCTACGCTCATGTTGGCCAACTCCGGAACCCAACACCAATGCTGTTCAGGCACCAACGTCATGAAGATTTGTGAGAAGTAAACAAAAGCAACGAAAAAGGCGAAAGGTATCATCAAAAGGAACAATATCTTCTGGTACAGTCCAAATTCTCCTACATATGGCAATAAATCATCAAAATCTGTGTCTTTCTTGGTCTCTTCTTCTTCCTTCTTAGGTACAGTCGCGTCCGAAATGTCATTTTCATAACCTTTATTTACAAAACCACCGCTTAAGTCTATATTAGATAAATTATTTGTCGTGTTCTTAGAATTATTTTCCTCTTCGACGTACGAATTCCTTTCTTGGGGCGCCATATTGTTTTACTATGTTTTTTTTTTTCTAGCTTTTTATCATAGTCTTGTTTGCTGGTATAGTGTCTGTAACAAAAAAAGATTTTTTTTTAACATATTAGTTTAGGGTATTTGGTTGGTAAGTTACTGTACTTTTGGTTTAGGGAGTGTAGAGCACATGGACACAATTTTCTTGCCTACGCAATAAATTGCACATAATTGCATGGGCGACAAGTCGCTGTTTATTTGAATTTATTAATTACTAGATTTAGCCCTCGATAAATGTCCTATGTCCGGCAGTTATTTGTTCCTCATACAAACTTCAAGCCCAGTATTCAATCCCTTAAAGGATGCGAGTATGTCCTTTCCCGGGACTCAAACTATATACTAAATTTCATCTTAATCGCTTCAGCGGTTTAAGCGTAAAGAGTTAACAGACAGACACACACTTTCGCGTTTATAATATTAGTATAAATGTGAGCCATCTGTACGTTAACATGTCATGAATATAATACAATATTAATGTAAATTTTGTATTCATATTATATAATAACCTCTAATATATTTATTTATTGAAACCTTGATGTCCGTAAAATTTATAAAAATATTTGTAACGATATAATTTTATGAGAATAATTTTTATTCTATTCAAATTAAAAAAATAGCCAAATGGATATCCCACTTATCTAGGAAGCCTGTAGGCTATGAAACATCACGCTATGACTAAACAGGGCTGAGTATTAATGAACAACGTGCTAAAAACGGGTATAAATTATCCCTTTTTGCGCGGGTCAGATAGTGAACATATTGGTTGAGTAATCATTGGACAACTTTAAACACAGGACAGGACGGTGTATGTTAACCCAAGGTCACCAGCGGTTACTGCCTCGAGCAGTTATTCACCAATTCAGCCATGGCCTACACTAAGGTCTACGCCTGTTCAATATGCTTGGGTGCATTAAAGGTCATTATCAAAGTGAATGGGCTAGCTTATATCACGACTATATAGGCATGGTCACCTTACAGTCTTCCTTCCACTTCCACAATGAGTTGACTGTACTGAGTTTGACTGCCATGTCAAATAAGTTCCTTTCCTTTCCTCCCTTTTTTTTTTTTTTTTCCGTGCTGAAATCCCCTCGGATACCACCTGTCGGTGGCATGTCGGACTCGAACCGACTAAAACCGCACGCCGTCTCGGGTACTAATAGCCGGGGAACCAGGTATACCCTAGAAAGGAAGTCCCTGGTACCCCGACATACCTCGGGTCATCTACAGACGAGTAGACGACCCCCCCCCCCCGTGTGGGAACCCCATGTTCCCGGTGGTCCCTGGAAGCGAGCGCGCTTCGCGCCACCCCGGCCTGCTTCTGCTAGGGTGACAGATGGAAATAAGTTCCTCCTGATTAACTGTTTAGAAATAGCAAGTTATTACGTCATGTATACATCACTGTAAAATTGTAAATACCGTTGGATTATTATCCAGATGACATACTGCTTACAATGGAACGCATTATTTTTATTTAGGTTAGGGTTTTAACATTAAGAATACAGAGTGTCACCACCCCTATTCATCCCGTGGGTGTCGTAAGAGCCGACTAAGGGAAAAAAACTACGCAGAACAACAACACTGCAAAGAGAAGGTAAACTTAACCCAAACCCTATACCAACCCGTCTAGCCAGCGTGGTATAGTAGGCCAAAACCTCCTTTCTAAGGAGAGGCCAAAGCCCTGCAGTGGACTATAAAAGGCTATTGATGTGATGTGATGATGATGATGTGCTCTTTGTAAGTATTCTTTGAAGACGGTTTAACTTTTTTTTAAAAGGATGTATAAATTACGAGAGACGTGGTCGACGTTGCGCAGGTCGGCGAGTTTTTACATAAAGCAATCCATAAATTAAACCAGAAATTATTTAGGTATCAGTGTAATGTTATTTAAATTTAATACGTAGTAATTAATAATGAGAGTTTATTTTGGAAATGTAATTAGATAATACATAGGTACATACACATACACTACACAGTACACTTGCATACCTATACAAAATTCTTCTGTGCGTTCGTATGTGACTGAACTCCTCCTAAACTTCTGGACCGATTTCGATTAAATTTTTTGTGTGTATTCAAGTGCATTCGAGAATTTCGGTAATTTTAACGAAAACTGCAGTCGCAAAACTACACCACTAAGGCAGAACTCTTCAAATTCCAAGCGAACGAAGTCGCGGGTACCAGCTAGTTATATATAAATTACATCCAGACACAGAACAAATGCTACACGGACGGTGCAGTGGTTTAAGCGGTCACCTCGTCTCGCTTCAGAATTTGGGTGTTCTTTGTGTCCGTTTCATATATGTTTGTAAAGTCTCCCCGACACAGGATATATTCCTAACGCGTTTTTTTTTAACATTGAGCTATGTTAGTATTTAGGAGTATTTAGCATTATTAGATACAAACTTCAATGAATCAATTATTAAGTTCCACAAAGTTAAACAAAATTCGTTGAACAATTTACAAATTGGAGCGGCCATTAGACTGTAGGGTGACCAAACATAACAGTTATTTGCTTGTTTAGGGGACAAGTCCATATTATGTGACCTGTTCCGGGGGTGAAGAGGGGGGACTTAAGTTTTCGTCCTGTAGTAGTAATCCTTTATTGAAAAATCAAAATCCTCAAAATCCTCTAGCTGTATTAAAGTACTAGGTTTTGCGCCTGCGTGTATGTAAAAAGTAGCCTATGTCCGTAATCAAGAATCAAACTATCTCCATAACAAATTTCATTAGAATCGATTCAGCGGTTATTGATTCCCCATACAAACTTCCATGTATAATATGTATATAAGTACAAAAAAAAGTATGTAACTATTCTATTAGTTAATATAGCTTTTATAGTACAAACTTTGCTTAGTTTGAAACTAGATAGCGTTGTGTGTCAGATGTCTGAAATATTATTTTATTATTATTATTGAATACCTACTGCAGATGATCACCAAATGAACGAGCTAGGCGAGATACTACAGCCCCATCAAAAACCGGTGTTAGGCAATTTTTTTGTAGCCCGTCACCGGGTCAGTATGCTTACCGGAGGTCTAATTACATATTCCTGCATATTACGTATGTATTGGTTAGTTATTATTACAAAAAAAATATAGTTTTCCTTATTTACTGGCCTCTTGGTCTAGTGGTTAGTGACACTAACTGATATCTAAGTCACTCAAGTCTACTGATGTTTTTAAAGTTCACGTTCAGTTATTAATAATATGACGGGGCCTGTTGGTCTAGTGGTTAGTGACTCTGACTGCTAAACAGGAGGTCGTAGGTTTGATTCCCACCCAGGATAAATATTGTTTGATGAGCACGGTCATTTGTTCTGTGTCTGGATGTAATTTATCTATAATATGTATCTATTTATCAGCAGTTTGGTTAGCATAGTACAGGCTCTGAATAGTTTGGGAACAGACGGCCGTGTGTGAGATGTGTGAGATATATTGTTAAATAAAAAAAAAATAACACTACTTATTTAAATATCTTAATAACAATTACACACACTAATTGCACTAATATTTAACACGTTACGTTACGTTACAAACTTGATCATGTTTCAATCATTTAACAACTAAAAAATAATTATAATTTAAAAAATAATACGGAGCTCACTTTAATAGTTGTTAAGCCGGACAGCGCCATCTGGCGTCGTGGGTTCGATTCCCACCCAGGACAAATAAGTTATAAACACGGTCAATTGTTCTGTGTCTGGGTGTACTTTATCTATAATATGTATGTATTTAGAAATATATAAGTATGTTTATCAGCAGTCTGGTTACCATAGTACAGGCTCTGCCTAGTTGGATTAGATAGCCGTGTGTGTATTGTGTAAAAATATTATTATTATTGACATCAAATTGACACAAACCTCACTACCGACCGTGAAAGGATTGACCTCTAAATTCTAAAATTATTTCAACAAGAATTTTATACATTGATATGTATACTTTAAATATTTTATTACACTATATACAAATGTAACAGTATATTGTTATTCAACTGGAGTAACAAAAAAAAACATTATTTTTCTTAAACATCTCTATATAATTCTGTACTTGTATTTGTAACCTAGCTCCTCCTAAACGGCTGGACCGATTGAATGAAAATTTGTGTGTGATGGTTAAAAAAGACAATTGGACCTAGTAGGCGGCGTTGTTGTTGGTATATCTCCAAATTTGTCACTTAATTTATTAATTCTAGAGCGGTACGAAGTTCGCTGGGTCAGCTAGTATTAATATATTTTTTTGTTGTAATATACAGTGTGGGAGAGACATTCTTCGTCACAAATAGGCTGGTTCGACCAGAGTATACCCACCTCACAGAAAACCGATGGAAAGCTATTTTTTCCGTTCCCTACTTTTTACCAAGTTAGTGAGGGAACCTCCCGCTGGAAGGAATTCGGAGGTCTTAATAACAGCTGTTCTCGGATCCCTCTTATTTCAGGAGCAGAGTTTTAATCAGTCCTACTCCGACATAACGCCCCACCTCAAACCCCTGTGAGGCGGCGGTCTGAGGAGGCTTTCACAAGTAAAAAAAAAAGGCCTACATCTTCAATCTCCTTAACTCTTGGCGGGGAGTCACGCACTTGTGTCTCTCAAGTTGCAGGTTGCAGTGGTCACTTAAAAACGATGCCCTGTCTGCTCGTTTTTCCCCCTATAGAGCTTGCGCCTGCGCACTAATTAACTTATGTTCAATATTGTCTGAGTATCTACAATTATTGCCACTTTATTTCCACAAAAAATTGTCACTGTTCATTGTTTAGCTAAACCCAATGATAATGATCGCCGCTATAATTAATCATTAATTAATATCTAAGTCCTAGTTTTTCAACAAACATTAGCCTGAATACTTAGGAGGTTATGACGACAAATATTAAAAGGTTTTGTTTAATCGGTTCGTGTCCGACAACCATCCAACTGGTGGGTGGTATCCGAGGGGATTTTTGCATAGAAAAAAAAATGGGGGTCTGGTCCCTTTGGATAGAGAGCATAACCTTTTTACCTGCACCCGACTGCACGGATGGCGTAGTGGCTGCACTGAGTGTTGTG